CCCCGTCCCGACCCCCTCGCGGCGGCCGCCTCCCCCGGGCACGCAGCCATGGGGCCCAACGGAGCCTCCGGGGCAGCTGAAGGATGGAAGGTAACAGCTCCCTCCGAGCGATCCCTTCTCCTGCTGCACTTTAACCACCTCCTCTTCCACCTCTCTCCAACTCACTTCTCGCTACTTCCTCTGGTTTAACAAACTAACGGCTTCCCTTGCTCACTGCCACCGGCACTGACACGGCACAGGACCCAGCACTAACCCAGCCCGGGGCTGCTGCTGCTCTCCTGAGGGTCAAATCCAGCAGCACCTGGGGTGAGAGGAAGGAAGGAGCCACCCCAGCACCCCACCAGGCAGGGCACAGGGGGGTTTTGCTGCTCTCAAGCCACACTGGGTGCCCGGGGAGGGTGTCACTTGTGCATGTGGTGCATGATACAGGCAGGAGGGGAAGGGCTGGGCTGGAGGCCAGTGGCTGCTGGGACCCATTTGGTCCTGGCCTTGGCCCTGTCACCCCTCTTGGGTGCTGGGGCAGGTGCATCCCAGGTGCACCACAGGCCTCTCCTGCCCGGGGCCCCAGGGGAGAGACAGCAGGAGAGAGCCCAGAGCATTGATGGGATGGAGCAGGGGATCCCTGGAGTGAGGGAGCAAAGGGGTAGAGAGCAGGATGAACACTGAGCCCTTCACCTGGAAGCATCTAGTGAGGGGAGCTCTGCCCCATCCAGGGCAGCTCATCTGCTAGGGGGTCTGGGTTATGTGGCAAAGGTCCTGTGTGGGTCCCTCCCCTCTCCTGGGGGTCCCAGCAACAGGGCTGAATTGACCATGGCTGTCCCAGAGCAGCATCTCCTGTCCCTGCAGGCAAGGACCTCTCTCCCCACTGCCCATCCAGTGCCACCCAGCAGTGTGGCATGGCCACTGTATGTCCCCATGGCTGCAGCTGCCAGAGCATCTCTCCAGGTCACCTTCCCTTTCCCCCATGGGGACACAGCCAGCTCTGCTCCCCTGGGCACTGTGTGCCTCATGGCATGTCCCTTGGGACAAGAACAGAGAGGTGGGGCAGGAAGGTCAGTAGCTTCTGGCTGCTCTGGGTTTAAAAGGTCCAGTGGCCCTTGGTTGCAATGGCTTGTCCCCTGCCTTGGGCTCTGCTGGGAGCAGAGGTGTCCTGCCACCAGGCCTGGGCTCTCCTCTTGCCCCAGTGTCGTGCCAGTTTATGGGAGGAATCCAATCTGGGCCGTGGCACTTGCCTTTCCAAAGGCATTTGGGAGCTGCAGCCACACTTGACTCACTTCAGCTACGGACTCCAGGCAAGTTACAGCCAAAAATCTCCCAGTCCCAGGTTGCCTTAAGCACAGAGGGAAATGAGTCCGTCTCTGTAAGGATGGGACATGAGGGCAGGAGGGAGCCGAGCATCCCCCTTCCTGACCGATCCCGTCCCTAGCAACAGGGCTGAATTGACCATGGCTGTCCCAGAGCAGCATCTCCTGTCCCTGCAGGCAAGGACCTCTCTCCCCACTGCCCATCCAGTGCCACCCAGCAGTGTGGCATGGCCACTGTATGTCCCCATGGCTGCAGCTGCCAGAGCATCTCTCCAGGTCACCTTCCCTTTCCCCCATGGGGACACAGCCAGCTCTGCTCCCCTGGGCACTGTGTGCCTCATGGCATGTCCCTTGGGACAAGAACAGAGAGGTGGGGCAGGAAGGTCAGTAGCTTCTGGCTGCTCTGGGTTTAAAAGGTCCAGTGGCCCTTGGTTGCAATGGCTTGTCCCCTGCCTTGGGCTCTGCTGGGAGCAGAGGTGTCCTGCCACCAGGCCTGGGCTCTCCTCTTGCCCCAGTGTCGTGCCAGTTTATGGGAGGAATCCAATCTGGGCCGTGGCACTTGCCTTTCCAAAGGCATTTGGGAGCTGCAGCCACACTTGACTCACTTCAGCTACGGACTCCAGGCAAGTTACAGCCAAAAATCTCCCAGTCCCAGGTTGCCTTAAGCACAGAGGGAAATGAGTCCGTCTCTGTAAGGATGGGACATGAGGGCAGGAGGGAGCCGAGCATCCCCCTTCCTGACCGATCCCGTCCCTGCGGCGGGTGGTGCCCGGAGACACTGCGGGATGCGGGTCGTGCTGGGACACGCGGAGCTC